CGGGGATATAGCTTAGCGGGATATGCGCTTGCCTGACAAGCGCAAGGTCCTGAGTTTGATTCCCAGTACCAAAAAAAAGAGAATATATTCCTTTTATAATCTTTCACACTAGCATGTTGACTGTTACAATCTCAAGCAATCTCACAAGCTATATATTGAAGATAATAAGCTGCCCAACTACTGTGTTTCTAGGATGGTTCCATGGAGCAAAATCCATCTACCTTCCTATATAAAAAAGAAACAGACTTCTATATTAGCTATTTCCTCATAAACATGTTTTATTTATTCTTTATCAATCCTTATGCCTTTTTTTTCTTGACTTATTGCATTGGCTACAAAACTAGGAACTTCAGAACAATGTTCAATAAGAGCTAACATCCTTATCATGTTCCCAATTTTACGGAGAAAGTATTAAGTCTTTTACCATTGACTATTATGTTAGTTCTGGATTTTTTTGTAGCTGTTCTTTAATTGGTTGAAGATTCCCTATTCTTAGTTTGCTAAGAGTCAGTTCCGCTAAGTATTTTTTCTGCTTCTTTTTTTTTTTTTTTTTTTTTTTTTTTTTTTTTTTTTTTTTTTTGTTTTTTCTTCTGGTACCAGGAATTGAACTCACGACCTTGTGCTTGCCAGGCAGGCGCTTTTGCCACTGAGCTAAATCCCCAGTCCCTCTGCTTCTATTGAAATAATTTGTATTTATTAAAGCCTTTACTAAATATAGAGCTACTAACTTTTTAACTCCTTATCATTTTTGGCCTTCATGTTTTTCAAGGAGTATGTCCAGCCCAGCAGGGTAGTGCATGCCTAAAATCCCAGCTACTCAGGAGGCTGACACAGGAGGCTCACAAGTTTGAAGCCAATCTAAGTTACTCAGTAAGACCCTGTCTCAAAATAAAATATAAAAAGGATTGGAGATGTAGCTCAATAGCACAGTGCCCTTGGATTCAATCCTCAGTAAAAGACTGGGGAAAAAAAGGAAGAAATTTGTCCATTTTATGAGTCATCAAATTTGCAACGTGGAACTGGGAGTATACATCTCTTTGTGTTTCCTTTTACTACTTACTCTAGGGATAACTGTGTGCATTCTTAAACAATCTACCAGGAATATTGAACTACTTTATAACAAGAAAGGAATCTTAAAATAGCACATTTCCATTTTCCCCTTCCTATGTATTGTGCTATTGTGGTCATTATCTTTTATTTCTACATGGTTTAAACCCTACATTCCTCCCCGCTGAGTATCTTTTTAAACACTCTAAATCATTCTTTTTTTTTTTTTTGAGCAGGGTATGTAGTTCACACTGGTCTTGAACTCACTATGTAGTCCAGGCTGGCCTTGAACTCATGGTGATCCTCCTGTCTCCCTGCCTCAGCCTCCCAAGTACTGAAAATTATAGACATACACCACCATGCCCAACTTCAATCATTATTTTATAAGTGCAATAACTGCTTCAATATTTCCATATTAGCAATCAAATTCTTTGCATAACTTTTTTTTTTCAGTAGTGGGTATCAAACGCAGGGCCCTCATACTGAACTACATCTTTGTATCTTTTTATTATTCTTTATTTTGAGACAGGGTCTTGGTAAATTGTCCAGGTGTGGCTCAAACTAGATCCTCTTGCTTCAGCCTTCCAGACTGCTGGCATTATAGGCATACACAACCACTGGCTACAACATTGCTTCTTTTTTAAACACTGCTTCTTGTGGTTCATTCTCCCCTGTGTTTAATAGATTTCTTCCTCCTGTACATCCTACACCTTTTATATTAATTATCAATGGTATGGGAAAGATAAATTCCCACTTTTTTGTCAAGATAGTTTTAAATTTTTTAATAGTGATTTAGCTGGGTATGGCATTTTGAATTCCAGTTATATTCTTTCTGTCCTTTCAAAATATCACTTTTTTGTGTGGCATTGGTGGTATAATGGTGAGCAGAGCTACTTTCAAAATATCATTTCTTTGTACTTATACATGTCTATTGAGAAGACATGTATGCTGCTAACCTAGATGTTTTCTCTTCATACATAATCTTTCTATGCTTTCTGATGTTATCTTGTATATCTTTGAATACCATATAACAATTCACTAAATTTTTTTTCTCTTTTTGAGACAGGGTCTCGCTATGCAGTTCAGGCTGGTCTTGAGCACTTCCTCTTTTTTTTTTTTTTTTTTTTTTTTTGGTATCAGGAATCAAACTCAGCACCTTGTGCTTGCCAGGCAGGCACGTGTGCCACTGAGCTATATCCCTAGCTATATGAGCCCACTTTGAAGCCCAGGCTGGTCTTGAACTCACAACCATCCTCCTGCCTCAGCCTCCCAAGTACTGGGATTGCAGGCATGTACCACCAACCCAGCCAATATTTTCTTTTAAGGCACTTACTTTTTTTGTGTGTGTGGTCCTGGGGATCGAACTCAGGGTCTTGTGCATGCAAGAGCTCTACCACTGAGCCACCTCCCCAGCTCTAAGGTACTCACTATATTATGTATTACTTAGCCACTTTTTACATTTACTTTATGTTATTTAATCATTTTCCATACCTGCCTTAACCCTACTATAGAGAATAAGCTCCCTGACACTATACTAAGTGCAATACGTATTTCCCTATAGAGAAGTGCCATGTTCTTTTTTGTTTGTTTTGGCTTGGTTTGGGCTTTTTTGAGACAAGATCCCACTATGTAGTTCAGCCTAGACTTGAATTTACTATGTAGTCTAGGTTGGCCTCTCTTGCAGTGATCTTCCTGCCTCAGCCAACCGAGTGCTAGGATTACAGATGTATATCACCATGCCCAGCTGAAAGGACAGGAAGATAATCACCTGAAATGTATTTACATGCGAGACTGAAAGACCTCCTGGGGGTAAGCATATTACTTTAAGCCAAGAAAAGATCAGTTAGCTTGATCTAGAAATACAGAGCCTTTGTACTTAGAGGAGTAATTTTTAATATACTATAGTGAAAGTTCCTGACACTAGGAATTACCTTTTGTTCTGACCACTTTGGATTCAAATCTGGGGTTAAGAAAAGAGAGGACTATAACTAAAAATGAAAATACTGTTTACAGGGGCTGGGGATTTAGCTCAGTGGCAAAAGCGCCTGCCTGGCAAGCGCAAGGTCGTGAGTTCGGTTCCCGGTACCGGAGAAAAACCAAAAAAA